GGATGGGTTGAGGGCACTCAAACACCTTCTGAATTAAACTGGTCCTAATATCCCTGTTAAAGAACTGTATTTGCTTTGTCAGTTTTTTTTTCCAGCAAATATGGGGTAAATACATTAAAAAAATCTATGCTATGTCCCAGTCTAGATATGGCTCGTTGATGTCCTGAAGATTTAGCAGTTAAATACATCATTAAAATCTGCTTAGATTAATTCATAAACAGCAGTGTGGTGACAGGGTAACTAAAGCAGGGTCACCATACCTCATCTCTTTACCTTTAATTAAGGACACTTTTCCCCTTGTTCAGTGCCTCTTGAAGAAAACATGAACCTGGCAATCTGTGCATCCTCCACTCCTTGGTCTCCTTTGACCCTGTTTTAAAGAAAAAAAAATACAATACATTTCCAGAAATAAAATTCAAATGCTTTTACTTTCCTGAACTGGGCAGTTGTTATTTGCTGCATTCAAGTACACAACCTGCAAATACAAAGGAAAAAAGAATAATGCAACAAAAAGAACACAAATAAATACATTGGAACTGAATGTATTGCAAGCTTCTTTTCCATAAACTGGAATCAATTTTCATGTGCATTATCGTGAATGGATTGATTTTGATAGCAGATGACTAGTAACACTGTAAATCAAATGCATACATGGTGAAACCTGTGTTTTATAGGAACACAGACTAAACAAACCTTCAAATATTACGATGTATCTATTTACAAGATTAAAGATAAAACATTTTGAAAACTTTACTGTCATTCCTATAGCTTTATATATAGCCTGTGTGTGTGTGTGCGTGCATCATTACAGTCTTTAAAAAGGGTTCAAATGTGTATCTCTTATCATCAGAAGACTGCAATCATTAGTAAACCGAAGACTTCCTATTAATAAAGTATCTGAAAAAGATCTACTCTATGAACAATGCATTAAATTACATTAAATAAAGACAAAATAAATGAATAAAGCAAGCAAATGAAACGATAACTCACATGTATCTGGTCCACTGGTGCCATGTCTTAAGTCAAGAGAATTATAAATCATCTTATAACAGGCGTCCAAAACTGACTTC